CCTTCTGCTAGCTTTCTTTGCAGTGTTTCCTGGGACCTGTGTGTTTCTGTCCTTTTTCAAGGGTAGGTCCTCGATGAGCACCCCCTCTACTGGGTTCAGAAACCGGGTGCTTGACTTGCAGTGTTTATTTCACTCGTCGATGTATGTCCAGATGGTACGATAAGCCGGGTTTTGGCTTCATACTTCCTGGATTATGCGGCCAGGTCACAGGCTTCTGCGGGAGCCTTCTTGATCATTAGGCCCCTGGCACGGCACTGCAAAACTTTCCTGGACGTCTGGACTGGGCTTATGCTTTCAAGCTGCCCTGTCTGGTCTACCGTATCTAGGTCGCCCTGAGGGGCCTCCCGATCACCAGGATATCCCCTCTTGCTGAGGCATCGAGCGGGAAGTATAGGGGGCATTTGCGAGAACCTTCTTGTGTAATGCTGTCTCAGGCAGTGCTCCCCTCACCTTAGAGGGTTGTATTTGAGCTTGCCTCTCCCATTTGGCTCAGTACTTCCGGTGAGCAGATGCTTGGAAAACTCTTGAATCCATACTATGGTAAGTGCACACGTATAAGCTTTGCTCACTTTCTAAAAATCCACATACGTGGTAAGTGTGCACGTTATGCTTTGCGCACTTTCTAAAATCCACATAGGTGGTAAGTGCGCACGTTATGCTTTGCCCACTTTCTAAAATCGACATAAGTGGTAAGTGTGCACGTTATGCTTTGCCCACTTTCTAAAATCCACATAGGTGGTAAGTGCGCACGTTATGCTTTGCCCACTTTCTAAAATCGACATAAGTGGTAAGTGTGCACGTTATGCTTTGCGCACTTTCTAAAATCCACATAGGTGGTAAGTGCGCACGTTATGCTTTGCCCACTTTCTAAAATCGACATAAGTGGTAAGTGTGCACGTTATGCTTTGCCCACTTTTCTGAAATCCTGTATGGTAAGGGTTATGCGTTATTAGCCTCGTTCCCTTTCTCTGAGTTGGTTTAGACCCCGGTACCTTGGGTTCCACTCAACTAGTGTGTCTCTGTCGACACAATCTGCTCCTCTCACCATTGAGGGTTATTGTGAGCATGGTGCTTTCTTTCGAGCGTTTAATTCTCTCTGAAGAGTTGGATTCCTCGCTCCATGGGCGGTTCTCGTGTTCTCGTGGTGCAGTGCTCCCCTTTTATAAGAGGGTTACCTATGAGCTACCTTTTATAAAAGGGTTACCTACAAACTCCTAAACTCCTTGGAGTTCTTCTCTCACGTGAGAGTTGAGTTCTCTGTTTTCTCAGAGCATCTGGAACCAGCAGCATCAGGCGAACTAGGCCCTTCCTCTGCCTCTCTGATGATCCGTGTCAGCGCTATTTGACACCAGATGACACACACGATTTATGTGTTGTTTGTTTGGGCGAGGAGCACGCACGCGGTGTCCTCGAGGGGGCAATCTGCGTGCATTGTGAGTTTTTTCCAATGAAAAAACTCCGTTCTCGTTTGTCTCTCTTTTCAAGTAAAGAGGGGCAGCCATCTGCTTCCCGCGGTTCAGGACCCTCCGCTGCTGAGGCACGGAGGAGAATGAGCTCGTGGGGATCTCAGGTGGACCTGGCCGATGAGTTTAGAGAGGGGCTTTCCTTCTCGCGCTCATCGGCGGGGGGCGAGAGACAGCCACTGGAGGATGATGTTCTCTCTTTAACATCATCTGATCCAGGGGCCAGTGCTCTGCTGGGGTCAGCCCAGGAAGAGCAGGAAATGGATGATGAGAGCGGAGAAGCTGAGGCTGAGCCTTCTCAATCCTCCTGCCCTGCGTATGATGAGCTCTTAGAGGTTATGGGTCGCGCCACGGCAAGACTTGACTTGCCATGGAAGCGGACTAAGGAAGTGGCGTCGCGAGGTCGTCTCGACGAACGTTATCTTTCTGGCCATAACCCTCCAGCTCAGGTGAGTCTTCCTTTCCTTCCTGATCTCCATACTGAGATCGAGAAGGAATGGAAGAAGCCGTTTTCCTCACGCATCCATCGGTTTCAGCATACCAGTTATGCGAATATCGAGGCGGTGCGCGAAAACGGCTATGAGAGAATGCCCCCTGTAGAAGAGACGCTAGCTAGCTATCTCTCTATGGGAGAGACATCATCTCTCAAAACTCCCTCCTTGCCATCCATGCCTCTTCAAGCTACATCTAAAATGAATGGCAAGGCATACGCAGCAGCAGGTTAGGCTGTTGCTTCACTGCACACGATGGCGGTGCTTCAAGCATACCAGGCTGATCTGCTGAAAGACCTGGATAAAGGCGAGGGCCTTTCTTCTGATGAGATGGCTGAGTTACGCCGCACCACGGATCTTGCTCTTCGTGCTACTAAGCAGGCTGCCTCTGCCATGGGCAGATCTATGGCAGCGATGGTAGTAACGGAGAGGCAGCTGTGGGTAAACCTGGCAGACATCGGGAAGAAAGAAAGGGGTTTTCTTCTCGATGCCCCGGTTTCGCCCTCTGAACTTTTTGGTACATCCGTTGAGGCGGTCGTCGAAAA